CCTTAATGATACACTGTATAGCCCAACTGTTTAGCAATTGAAGTTATCAATTTTCATTTACAATATTACCAAATTTAGTGTTTGAAATCCTTTGTACCTTGGGTTTTTTTTCTTACACGATTCACAACCGTAAACTATAATGAGTGACCATTTGTGTTTGGTATTCTGGAACCAGAACGACCCATTATGAAACCAGAACGGCCCGTTCTGGTTGCACTCTTAGTATGTTAATTTTGCACCTGGAACGGGCCGTTCCGGATGCAAAATTAACACACCAAGAGTGCATCTAGAACGGGCCGTTCTGGTTTCAGAACGGGCCGTTCTGGTTTCAGAATGGGCCGTTCTGGTTCCAGGTTTTTCCAGAAATTTTGGCGTCCACGTACGCATTCACGTGGCATCCACGTAGATGCCACGTGGCCAACAGTTAACTCTGTCTAAATCATTTGGACGGAAATCCCAAATTGAACTAATTTAAATTATTAGAGACCAAATTGAGACAAAAAATTAAAGTGGGACTAAATTGAAACAAAAAAATGTTATCACGGACCAAAAGAGGTATTTAACCTAAATTATATTTAGTTGATAGTTATTGTTCAGGATTATTATAAAGATATTTTGATATGTTTATTATTGAAAGGTTGAGAAAATTATATAAATATTAGGAATATTTTTAGTATTAATACTTAAATATTTAGTGTTCAAGATTATTTTAAATGTCGGTAAATTTTTTTTGTTATAGATTTTAATTTAAAAATAAAATAATTTTTTCTTATAATTTCATGTATTTTTATTTTTTTAGTAATATCTTTTTTCAAATCATTATTTAAGCTCATGAACTAGTCCATCTATTTGTGATACAAACTTAAAAAAATCTATTTATTTTTTAAATTGGACTTGTCTAGTCTATTTAAAATACAAGTTTGGTGAATTAGGTCTTAAACAAGTCGGACTGGTCAGTATACTCATTCCTACGATTCTGGTCTCAAATATAAATAAAAAATTATTTTATGCTAACTATTAAGTTAGTTAACATTATTTAATTTCATTGATATCATCTAATTTGTCTTTTCAAAACTATCATTTGTTGGAACTTACCAACAATAAATAATGACATTGAAAATATCTCATTTGAATGTAGGGATATTTTATGGGATAAAATCATTAAATAGAGAAATTTAGTTAAAAATTGCTTATTGTTCTAACCTCAAGTATGAATAATTTTGTCCTTCAGAAAATGTCTTAATAAGATAAGAGTGAGATTATTTTTAGTCTTGACTCCTAAATGATCTATAATTTTTTGACATGTTGAAATATATAAGCTCTCTAATCGAGTGTATGTGAGAGGAGTGATTTACGCTTTCTTTCTAATGTCAATGATTCAACTTAAAGTTTACCGGTATCATTAGGATTACTTCATCCAAAGGTATTATCCACTTACACATTCACTGGGTTGTCACAAAATTCATCCTTAAAAAGATGTTTCAATGAATTAAAAGAAAAAAAATTTATAAATATACCTTTACTTTTAATTAACAATTTGAGTCTTTTTGATATATAAGATCAAATATAAAAGTTTAATACATAACCGCACAAATAATACTACTTCATTCTTATCTATAAGAAACAAAAGTATAATTTTTTTCTTAAATATAAAAAACATAGTCATATTTTCATTTATATAAATTAATAGATTTCTTTTATACCATGAGAGAGATACTGACCAATTTTTTATATTAGTGACCTTAATTTATTAGAGAACTTCCATTTTAAGGGATGTCAAAAGGTGTCCACTATCTTTACTTAATGTAGGTCTTGTTTTTTTTTTTTTAAATATTTCATACAATTTTGTATTTGTAAGATTTTAATGATATTTTAAACATTCAATTTGGCAAATTGTCGAATTTATTCTACAACTCAACTAATGATATCCATGAAAAAAAAATAGTGACTTGAAATGAGGAGATACAATTAGTGACATTAAAGCATTTAATTGTATGAGTATTTTAATAATAAAATTTAAACTTAAGATATATTAATTATAATTAACCGCTCAAATAACATTTTCTTGATCCGGATGATTTTCGTCATATATTTCTTATATATAGAAACGCGGAGGGAGTATTAAGCTTTATCTAGGAATCATGTCCGTTGAAAAGCGATGGATGATGAGACATGCAGTTTATTTAAAAGATTTTGATTTTGAACCCCCAAAATGTATGGTGAGATATATTCATTCGGTAAGCAAGTTTGGTTTAGTGGTTAGTTAGTTATAATTGGACAGTGCATATTTGCTAACTTGGAGGCAACAAAGTTATGTGTGATAATGAGATATACCTAGCTAATGAGTAAAACTGTACTCGTACAATCACTAAAACAAAACTATTACACATATTTATCATTAAAATTTATTCTTACATTATAAGTTTTACATTTTAAATACAATAATATATGTTGGTACATTATTAAAAAATATAAATAAGTTATAATAATATATAATATATATTATTAAATTTTATTAAAAATAAATATTAAAATTATATATAATTATACATTAAATTAATTTACATTTTCATATAATATTTTTATATATTACTAAGCATAAAATTTATTGTGGCCAAAAAATTATATCTCTAATGGAGAGAGAGAGGGAAAGACAAAAAAAATACAGTAGTGACACTGCACATTATTCTTTGGTGATCCTATATATAGAGTATTATTTGTTGACACGGAAATAACATAGCATTTGCATTTGGTAAGTGGTTTTTTGTTGGGAATGATTTATCTCCTATCTTTGAGGCTTGTATTATTAATCTCAAAGTTGTGGTATAGGCGGTGAGCACTTTTAATTACATTTTTATAATTTAAGGAAATAATTATCATGTGTATATTATCATCTAAGTCGGTGTCAGTTGTAACCTAATTATAACCTTGGTGTATTTTTCGCAATATTATGTGTCTAATTTCATCTTAATCTCTTATCTCAATTAATAGGGAGGAATTCTTGCGATTCCTTCAATTTATAAATACCATAATCTGTGCTTATTTAGCTTTGAAATTGATTATAACTATCACGCCATTAATGTGTCCCTCCTATAAATTCGCTCAAAGTTGAGAGCTGGATTTAACCAAGTAAGATTACAATTCAACTTTAATTTAATCTCCATAAAACTTGCACGGTTATTTACAATTCTAATTCTTAAAGTGATGTTAAATAATTAAAAAGAACTAGAAATTTGATTATAAGTTTTTGATTTCAAGTCTGATTGGATTTAAATGTTGTCTTACACCAAGTCTTGCTCATTTTTTTATTGTGAAAATTAAAAAAAAAATCATCGAAGAATATATATTAATTTATTATTGCACATTAGTTTAGGAAATTTTTGTATAATGATACAATTTTTGATTGTTGATTCTTAACCATAAACGGTTAAACCCAAACCATACCAAAAAAAATAAATGAACCTGTTAGAGAAGTGTTGAGCATCGGACAAGTGTGTGTATATAAGACAAGTGTGTGTATATAAATTAATGTTCATTTTCTTATTTGAACAATGTGAGACTTTACTTGCATCCTAACAAGAAACAATAATATGTATGACATGTTGGAAGAGAACTAATGAAGTTACAAGAAACATATATAATTAGAAAGGTTAGAAGAATCAAGAGCTAAGTCTGGAAATTTGATATACATTTTGACGCAAGCTGATATATTTTTAACTTTTCATATGGAGTACGACCTCGGTAGACAAACTTTCTCAGATTTCTAATAATAGTGAAGAATAAAGGTCAAACCCAGGTTTCTCCTTAGAAGAAGACTTGTAATGGTCAAACCCCAAACATTACATTGTGAAAACCTTTTATAGAAATTCCATTGTTGCCTTCCTCCACCCACCTTCCTTTCCTAAGGTTAACATTGGTGGAAAAGAGGAGTAAAAAAATGAACAAAAGGAGAGGAAGGTACTTGGGAGTGAAGAATGCAAGAAAAACTAAGAGTGTCGAAAAAACTTCAAAACCATAATGACTATGTGTCGTTAAAGTCGTAGAGAAACAAAAATATGAATATTTATGAAGGGAGAATGAAGACAACCGTAAAAGTGGATCGACCCTACTTATAAGCAATTTACAAGGGTAAACTTGATATTCCAACCATGAAAGTAAGGGCAACATGGTACCTCGATCCAAAATTGAGTTGTCATGATTGTTGCATGAAACTAGTGATTGACATAAATTTTGGAGGGCTTGATAATCCACATCCAACCACAATATGTCGTATATATGTTCTACTAATTGGATATTACAAGTCAGCTAGACATGAAAGAACATGATTACAACCGCACCTCAACTTAAAACACATTTTCATCTTCAACCAAGTGAGGATCTCAAAACTAAATTCACAGCATGACATGCATGATCTTTGAGCATGCCATGTTTGGGGGAAAATCGTTCCAAACTAACCCTATGAGACTTTATCCTTAAATGGACTAGTTAATTACCTTGACCTAAGGTGTGACATTAATCGAAGTATTGGTTAAAGTCAACACTTGAAAATGCAATTAAATACACTTGTGAATAGTGAATGATACCTAGAGTAAAATTATTATATGGATCATTGATATACCCCAAAAAAAAAAAAAAGTAATGTTAACTCATGCGTTTCTAAAACTCTTCTAAGGTTCAATTTCATCATAATATGATTTCTCTTTCACTTATTATTTCATTTTTTTAACCTAAAAATTTAAAAAGGCAGCAATGAATGGATATTTGATGATTAGTGCACACTAGTTGGAAAGTTTGTGGTGTAGAATGAAACAGCCTTCCCCGTTGGTCCCAAACCCTATATCAAATCACCCAACAAGCTGGCCCTACTTTCCTTTTCTTCTCCTATAACGTCCCCACCAACCCCTCCCCTAACTTTCCACTCACCATTTAGATTTTTCATCAACACAACACCGTCCATGAAACTAAAACAGAAGCAATCAACCCTAGACGCATATCACATCTCAAAACAACGTCAACATTGATAAAAGTTATATATTCCTTTAGAGGGCACGTAAACACGAAATTACAAACCTCAGGTTTCGAATTAATAACCGAAACCTTACATTTAATATGCATACAGCATACGCGAACGTAATTAACAACCAAAAATACATACCAATTACAGTAGTAACCAAAAAAAGAACCCAAAAATTTAGAAGGAAAAAAAAAGAAGATTTGGGAGATGGTTAAGTGTGTTTGTACTCTCTTTTTTTTTTTTTGTTCAGTCTTGGAAACCGGTTTTGGCCCAAATGGCGTTTCGGAGTGTGCTGAGATCCCTTCCCTTGAGGGTCCTCCCAACACCCTCGTGCACGGAAAACGAAGCCACCCTCGTCCTCGCTAGGAACTCATGCGGTGGCACCCTCACACTGTTCTCCTCGTTCTCCTCGTCGCTGTTCCTCCGCCGGTGATACTCGCCGCCGAGGATCTTCGACCAGTCGGGGATGTTCACCGGCACCGACGCCGGAGCGGTGGTGGGAGACCCCTTTTTCTTGGCGAAGCCAGAGGCGCGACCATGTAACGATCCGCGGCACTCGAACGAGTTGGCCCGGCCCGAGTCGTAAATCTCGGACTCGTGGAACTCGAACGCGGAATCGGAATCGGAATCCACGGAAAGGGAAAG